ACGGTGCTGGCCTCCGCCGGCTCCACCTTCCCCGGGACGGTGGAGATCCACCCGGACGCTTCCAACCTGACGGTGCTGAGCACGGCCGCCGTGCAGGACGGCAGCACGGTCGTGAAGGTGGGGAGCCCCTTCCAGCTGCTCAAAAAACCATCCAGAACGTGACACAAAGGGCTTCCGGCGGGAGCACGGTTGTGACTGTCCCATCCGGTGCCACTGAGGCCACCGGGGAGGAACACGCCGCCGCCGCCATCGAGGTGACCGCAGTGGCTGATGAGGCGGAGCAGAAGTGAAGGGGGGACGTGCCTGGAGGGACGCTGGCCGTGCTCTGGGTGGAACTTGCCTTTTCTCTGGCTGCGCTGTGGGACGAGGAGCGGTGTAATGAGGGGCACGGGTTAAGGAGACTCAGAGCGGCTCAACGTCGGTAACCAGGGGCAGGTCAGAGGGAAGGAGAGGGAGGAAAGATGCCTGGAGAAGAAGGGAGAGGTGGAAATGCCCTGTTTGGAGGAGAGAAGAGAAACAAAAAGCTTACTTCTGTATAAAGCTTTCCTCCCCGTTCTCTTGGAATAGTTATTCTGCTCTGGCTCAGCAGCCGTGCCTCATCTGCAGGCAGAGCTGGAGCAGTGTCCATTGGGGAGCGGGGATGCAGGGCACGGAGAAGGAGGTAGCGGAAGGAGGAGCAGGCGAAGTGCTGAGCAGGCACCGGCCCGGCTGCTGTGGACTGACGGGTGTCAGGGAAATGCTGCTCCCCATCCCTGGGGGAGTGCAGGAAGGGAGAGGGGACGCCGGGAGCAGGTTGTCCATCGGGAGCAGGAAGAGGTGGTGCATGGCAGCGCGGCCACGAGCCCCGGGAGCTTGGCTTCTGCGTGTGACGCTGGCTTGGGGTGGCAGGAACAAGTGGGAGCTTGTGATGGTGGTCACGGCGCATTGTCCAGCTCTGCTGGGGGAAGGAAGGAGGGAGAGAAACCCAGAGAGCCGCAGGAGCTGTAACTTGTGAGGATTTAGGGTCTCTTTCTTGTTTTCTCTAAAACAAAGATCCGTTCTTGGGGATTTTTTTATGCAAACTGCAGTTTTTAAGCAAAGCCCTTTGTGAAGGTCGTGCTGGGAGACGGAGACATTGGATGTATGGAGCTGAGCTCAACAGTGCTCCGAGGAGCTTGCACTTCATAACAAGGGTGCAGGATCAGGCTGGTCCCCAGCATCTCGCCGGGTGCCTCATCCCATGGGAGCCGGGTGCTGCCGTTCCCTCCCTGCTGGATTTGAGCAGCCGTTCTGGAACGGGGTGGTCGATCCCCGGGACTCCTTCGAGCCTTCACCTCGCTGCGTGTCTCGTGGCCCTGCCCCAGGGCACACGGGTGGCTGCAGCGGTGCTCACGCTGCCTCCGGCAGGCAGGAGGCGGGTGCTTGACGTGCTGGGGTTTCTCCACGCTCGATCTGGCGGCAGCAGCGGTGACAGGTCACTTCAATGAGCTAATAAATATTTTTCTGAATGAGTGTTGCTGGTTTTGTGTGTTTCTGTGTCTGGTTGTGGCAGTTGGGGCTGCACCGGGGGGATGAGAGGACAGGAATGCACCTAATAAATAGGGATACACACGTGCTCTGTGCTTGCTGCTGTCCACATGTGTGCGAGGATGCTCCAGATCCTTTGTGGGCGCATTGCGATGCGCTGACTGTGTCGGGTGTTTAAGAGGCTGGGTTGTGATGCGTTGCTGTGTTTGGGGGGGTTGTTAACCACAGGGAAGATAAGGGGTGGCTTTTGTGTCTGAGTCTGTAGCTGGTCTGGTGATACCCTGAGGGGAATGAAATCGGGGGAAGAGCCTGGGGTTTGTTGCAGGAGGACAAGAGCAGAGTTTTGTGTTAGGAGAGGGCGATTCTCCTGTTGGGAGAAAAACCTCTTGGCACTGGTACAGACCCTGACAAACACGTGAGTTTAAGTGATTTGGTGCTCACTCTGAGTGGGAGCAGTTTCATCCCAAATGTGTTCATGGAATAAGGGGTTTATTTTGGTTTTCTTTGCAAATGATGCTTTTAATTCCAGGAACTGGGAAGGCTGGAAGCGTGGCAGAGCAGCAGCCACATGGAGATCACCCGTCCTGCCTGAGGGATGGGGCAGCCTGCGGCAGTGTGCCCCCCCAGCCTGTGGCAGTGTCCCACCATCCTCAGGGCTTTCAGGAGTTTGCATGGAATGAGCTTTGTTCTCAGATCCAACCCTGGTGGGATGGATGTGGCCATCAGGAACAGGAATGTTGTGAAGGGAGCACTTTGCAGATGTGGGGAGGCAGTTGCCTGGAGTTTGAAAGGATGCTGGGGTGAGGTGGGTGAAGCAGGAGGGATGTCTCTCTGTCCATCCTGCCTTTGTGCCCACTGAACACCACCGGTCCAGCCTGTGCATCCCCAGGTCATGGTGGATGCTGTGAGCAGCAGAGTCTTCCTGGAGGTAATTCAGGAGTCTAAAAAAGCCGGGGTTTAGGGGGCTCTGCATCTGCTCTGGTTCAGGGATGCTCAGATCACTTTAGGTTTCTTTTTCCACCCTTTGCCTGGGATTTGAATGTGGGTGGATGCAGCAGCATCCTGGGAAGAAGCCTCCCTGCAGCCGTGCCAGCACTGACATCCGCATCCCGAAATGGTGCAGGAGGCAGCGGGGTCCTCACTGATGCCTGTGGGGCTCGATGGTGCCTCCATCCCCGACACAAGCAGGGAACTCGGCACCAGGCACCCACTGCTGTGCTGCCCACAAGGTCCTGATGTGACGTACCAGTCTTAACTTAGAAATGAAGCCGAGATGAGTGTTTCTGGGGAGCTGGGCTGTCCCCGGAGTGTCCCCAGCACTGGCAGGGTGTGCAAGGGGCTGGTGAGCCCCAAACATGGCTCTGAAGTCTGGTTTTCCATGGCACGCTGCACCCAGTGCTAATAACACCTCCTCAAGCCGTGTTTAGAAG